ACTCGTTACTAACTTAATAACTGCGGGGGTTCACTTAACCTCTGTGGCAAGGAAGGTCATAAAATGGGGCAAAACCCCACTTAACAACTTCTCACTTAGCTAGAGAAAATTGGGGCTCAATTGTGGTCCTAAGTCAAGGACTACCTATACCATTTCAGACAGGTGACTGTCCAGTCTCTTCTTAAAAACTTCCAGTGTTGGAGCATTCACCACTTCTGGAGGCAGGTAGTTCCACTGGTTAATTGTTCTCACTGTCAGGAAGTTTCTCCTTAGTTCCAGGTTGCTTCTCTCCTTGATGAATTTCCATCCGTTGCTTCTTGTCCTGCCTTCTGGTGCTTTGGAAAATAGCTTGACTCCCTCTTCTTTGGGGCAGCCCCTGAGAGACTGGAACACTGCTATCATGTCCCCCCTTGTTCTTCTCTCCATTAAACTAGACCTACCCAATTCCAGCAACCGTTCCTTCTATGTTTTAGCCTCCAGTCCCCTGATCATCTTTGTTGCTCTTCTCTGCAACCTTTCCAGAGTCTCAACACCTTTTTTCTATAATGCTGAACAAAACTAATCAAGGAGAGAAGCAACATACAACTAAGGAAAAAATTCCTGTTAGTGAGAACAATTAACCAGCGGAACTACTTGCCTCCAGAAGTTGTGGCTGCTCCATCACTGGAGGATTTCAAGACGTGATTAGACAGCCATTTGTTTGAAATGGTATAGGGCAGGGGTAGGCGACCTTGGCTCTTTTATGACTGGTGGACTTCAACTCCCAGAATTCCTGAGTCAGCATGGCTCAGCTTAGAAATCTCTCCCTTTCCCCTCAGCATGGCTGGCTCAGGAAGTCTGGGAGTTGAAGTCCACGAGTCATGAGGGGGCCATAGTTCCCCCATGCTGGCTCAGGAATTCTGGGAATTGAAGTCCACGAATCATGAGGTGGCCAAAATTTCCCCCATGCTGGCTGAGGAATTCTGGGAGTTGAAGTCCACGAGTCATAAAAGGGGCCATAGTTTCCCCATGCTGGCTCAGGAATTCTGGGAGTTGAAGTCCACAAGTCATAAAAGAGCTAAGGTTGCCTACCCCTGGTGTAGGGTCTCCTGCTTGAGCAGGGGATTGAAGACCCCCAAGGTCCCTTCCTTCTGTTATAAATTCTGCTATAGAACTGGACACAGGATTCCATGGAATGATACCCTTGGCTTGAGCAGGGGGTTGGGCTAGATGGCCTCCAAGGTCCCTTCCAGCTCCATTCTGATTGGTTAATTGAATGCTGTAGATCAGAGGCCCCCAACCTTTTGGGCACCAGGGACCGGTTCCGTGGAGAAAGGTTTTTCCGTGGACCGGAGGGGGCGTGGTTTCATGTTCTGCCTGCATCCCACAGATACGGCTTTGCTTGTTGTGCGGACCGGTTGCTGGCATGCCGCGGCCCAGTACTGGTCCACAAACCAGGGGGGGGATGGAGGTTGGGCACCCCTGCTGTTGATCTCCCATCTAGCTTTTTTTGTAAATCTTTCTGAATTTCTCCCATTTTAGAACAGGAATAAGAGATGGAGGCTTCCAGCTGGCAAAGGTAACAGGTTTTGTTTTTAAGGGCTTTGCACCAGGATTATGACATGGGCTGGCCTCCACGGGCCACGGCTTCCCCTCTCCTGTGGCCACCCGTGTCCCAAGTCACCTGCCTCCCGACCAATGCCAAGCCTCATAGAATCGTAGAATCACAGAGTTGGAAGGGACCTCGGAGGTCATCTAGTCCAACCCCCTGCTCCAGCGGGAGACCCTTATAGAAGCTTATAACAAGATAATTGGAAGAGACCTCAGAGATCATCTAGTCCAACCCCCTGCTCAAGCAGGAGACCCTTACAGAATCATAGAATGACAGAGCTGGTAGGGACCTCGGAGGTCACATAGTCCAACCCCCTGCTCAAGCGGAAGACCCTTACAGAAGCATATAATTGGAAGGGACCTCAGAGGTCATCTAGTCCAACCCCCTGCTCAAGCGGGAGACCCTTACCGAATCAGAGAACGACAGAGCTGGAAGGGACTTTGGAGGTCATCTAGTCCAACCCCCTGCTCAAGCGGCAGACCCTTACAGAATCATAGAATGACAGAGCTGGTAGGGGCCTTGGAGGTCATCTAGTCCAACCCCCTGCTCAAGCAGGAGACCCTTATAGAATCAGAGAACGACAGAGCTGGAAGGGACCCCAGAGGTCATCTAGTCCAACCCCCTGCTCAAGCGGGAGACCCTAACAGAAGCATATAACAAGAGAATTGGAAGGGACCTCGTAGGTCATCTAGTCCAACCCCCTGCTCAAGCAGGAGACCCTTACAGAATCATAGAGCGACAGAGTCGGAAGGGACCTCAGAGGTCATCTAGTCCAACCCCCTGCTCAAGCGGCAGACTCTTACAGAATCAGAGTCGGAAGGGACCTCAGAGGTCATCTAGTCCTCCTTCCCCCGCATCTCTGCCAGGGTAACCCTCCCTGAGCCTCCCTTCGCACCGAGTGAGCTGGGGCTCTCCCCACAGCCCCCCCCCCGATCTCCAGCCAGCCCTCCAGAGGATGCCAAAGCAGCCCAAAGCCCCTCTCGGTGCCCCCCTCCCCAGGGCCAAAGGCGCATGACTGCGCACGCCAACGAGTCTCTCTCTTCCCTCTGCTTTCTGGACCAGGCTGAGAACATCCTTTTTTCCAAGCGGCAGAGCTTTCCAGCCAAGCCACAGGATGCCTTTTCCAAACAGCTGCGAATAATCTTGACCTCCCCAGTGCCAAAGTTTTGTTCCTGCTGCTGGAGACGAGCAGAGGAGAATTTTTTTATTTTTTTCTTGCGTGAGAAAGAAGCTTTTCTCCTCCCTGCAGGGCCAAGAGGAGGAGGAGGAGACAGGAGGAATTGCTAGAAAGTTGGGGCTCTGGCAGGCAGCCAGGCAGATTTTGCACCCCCAGCCTTGGGCCCGAGCCCTCTGTCCTGCCAGAGCAGGGCAAAATGTCTGGAAAAATCTACACCCCCCCCCCCATTTTTTGCCTTTCTTTTAGCCAAACAGAACAGCCACGGGCAAGGGACACCTAGAGACCGCCAAGTCAAACAGTGGGTTTTTTTTTGCTCCACCGCTAAGCTCATACAACCTACAATCGCCAAGGTTTTGAGGCTCCTAAAACTGCCATGGTTTTGACCTGGGACAGGCTACACAACCTACAAGAGTTAAGGTTTTGAGGGACCTACAACGGCCAAAGAATGGAGGCCTTTGAACTCTGGTGCTGGAGAAGACTCCTGTGAGTCCCCTGGACTGCAAGGCAATCCAACCGGTCAGTCCTGGAGGAGATCAACCCCGACTGCTCTTGAGAAGGCCAGATCCTGAAGTTGAAACTCAAGTCCTTTGGCCACCTAAGGAGAAGGAAGGACTCACTGGAGAAGAGCCTGATGCTGGGAAAGATGGAGGGCAAGAGAAGAAGGGGACGACGGAGAAGGAGGGGGCTGGATGGAGTCACTGAAGCAGCAGGCGTGACCTTCGAAGGACTCCAGAAGATGGCAGAGGACAGGGAGGCCTGAAGGAACATGGTCCAGGGAGGCGTGACCTTCAATGGACTCCAGAAGATGTTAGAGGACAGGGAGGCCTGAAGGAACATGGTCCAGGGGGTCACGATGGGTCGGATACGACTTCGTAACTAACACTAACAACAGCTAAGAGAGTCCTGCAACAACTAGGGTTTTGAGGGTCCTACAATGGCTACAATTTTGAGGGTCTTACAACAGCCAAGGTTTTGACTCGGGACAAGCTACACAACCTACAACAGCCAAGGTTTTGACTCGGGACAGGCTAAACAACCTACAACAGCCAAGGTTTTGACTCGGGACAAGCTACACAACCTACAACAGCCAAGGTTTTGACTCGGGACAGGCTACACAACCTACAACAGCCAAGATTTTGACTCGGGACAGGCTACACAACCTACAACAGCCAAGGTTTTGACTCGGGACAGGCTACACAACCTACAACAGCCAAGGTTTTGACTTGGGACAGGTCCACAACTTATAACCGCCAAGATTTTGTGGGTTCTACAATCACCAAGATTTCCAAGTGACCTACAGCCGCCAAGATTACGACTCGGGCCAAGCCCTTTCTTCCCAGGAAAATCCAAGCGCCGGCACCGGCTTCCACCAAGGCCCCCAGTCTCAGTCTGATGCAAAACCAGTAACTCCGCGGTCGGTTCCCCTTCAGAAACGCGCCTTCTGCCCACTCCCTCCCCCCAACGTTGAGCTGGCACCCACCTGCAAGATCAAAGCCACACACACACACAAAAAACCCAGGGCGTGTTGAGCCACCCGGAGCCCGGCTGATAAGACTCTGCGCTCGGCCAGGGGGCTTTTGGTGGTTTCCCCAAGGGGTCCTTCACCCCTCCTCACCTTCAGGAGACCCACACCCTGCCTCCCCGCCAATCCCTGGGGCGCACCTGCCCCCCCCCCATCCTACCTAAAAAGCAACTTCCTCCCGTTCAGGAGTTTTCCATCTTCTTCCGCCTCGCCCTTCGCCCTCTTAATGGCTGCGGGGGAAACTTCGGAGAAGTTCAACGCACCTTTACCTGCCCACGTCCCTCCCACCCCCCCCCCGGGGCCTCTGCCTCCCCCTGGAGGAGGGCACTAGGCGCCGGGGGGGGGGGGAACACGGAGGTGTGTTATTTATTTATTTTGCTCTTTTTTTAAAAAAAAAAAAAAAGAGGATTCTCACGTTTCCGGGGCTACCTGCCCCTGGCAGAGGACAAAGCCGGAGCGCAGAGCTGAATCTGGGGGCAAAGTTTTGCTGTCCCGCATCAGATGCCAGGGTTGCCCCCTCCCCAAAGGGGCCGGAGGGGTTTACGGGCGGTTGTGCAAAGCAGTGAGTGGCGGGAGGTGGTGTGTGTGTGGGGGGGGGGGGGGAAGCAGGGTTTCCCTTGCCCCCCCCCCGAGTTTCGTCTTGTTTTGGGGAGGGGGGGCCGCCGCTGCAACCCGAGGCGCAAGAGGGGAACAAAAGGGGTTCTCATTACCATGGCTCCTTCGGAAGTGACGCCGGAGGGGGCAGAGAAGCCGGTGGGGGCGCCCCCCGGCCCCGACTGCCTTCCTTCCCCGGGGGATCAGTGGGCGGCGGCGGGGGTCCTCCGGCTGCTCCGGGCTCTGCCATCGGGGTCCTTCCCAGGCATGCTGGGCCAGAGGGTCCGGCCTTGGGGGTCGGGGGTGGGTGGGCACCGGCTGGGATCCAGGTGTGCTTCGGCCCCCGGGGCGGTGGGCCTGGCTGCCCCCCCTCTCCTCCCTGCAGCCCAGGACGCCCCCCGACCCAGCGCCGGCTGGTCTCGGTCCGGCCTCGGAGCGCCTCGCAGAGAGAGACGGGCGCTCCGGCGGGGGGAGAGGAGGGGGTGGGAGGGGAATGAAGGGAAGGGGGGGGGAGAGAGAGGCTGCCCGCTCTTGGAAACCTCCCTCCCTCCCTCTTTCTCTTTCTCTTTTGCTCTCATGCTCTCTCTCTCTCTTTTCTCTCTCTTTCTCTCTTTCTCTTTCTTTCTCTCTCCTCTCTCTCTCGCTCTCTTTTCTTTTTCTTTCTCTCTCTGTTGTTTCTCTCTTTTTCTTTCTTTCTCTGTCTCTCTTTTCTGTCTCTCTTTTTCTCCCTCTCTCTTTCCTGTCTTTCTCTTTCTCTCTCTCTTTTTCTTTCTCTCTCTTGTTTCTCTCTCTCTCTCTCTCTCTCTTTTGATGAAGACTTTTCCTTCAACCATTTTAAATGGTTGAAGGAAAAATCTTCACTTTCTTTCTCCCTCTTTCTTTCCTCTCACTCTCTTTTTCTCGCTCTGTCTCTCTCTCTTTTCTATCTCTCTGTTTTTTCTCTCTTTCTCTGTTGTTTCTCTCTCTTGTTTCTTCCTCTTTCTCTCCTCTCTCTTTCTCTCTGTCTCTCTTTTCTGTCTCTTTCTCTCTTTCTCTTTTTCTCCTTTTCTCTCTTCTCTCTTTCTCTGCTTTTCTTCTCTCTATTTCTCTTCTGTCTCTCTTTGTCTCTCTCTCTCTTTTCTATCTCTCTGTTTTTTCTCTCTCTGTTGCTTCTCTCTCTTTTTTCTTCCTCTTTCTCTCCTCTCTCTTTCTCTCTGTCTCTCTTTTCTGTCTCTCTTTTTCTCCCTCTCTCTTTCCTGTCTTTCTCTTTCTCTCTCTTTTTCTTTCTCTCTCTTGTTTCTCTCTCTCTCTCTCTCTCTCTCTCTCTCTCTCTTTTGATGAAGACTTTTCCTTCAACAATTTTAAATGGTTGAAGGAAAAATCTTCACTTTCTTTCTCCCTCTTTCTTTCCTCTCACTCTCTTTTTCTCGCTCTGTCTCTCTCTCTTTTCTATCTCTCTGTTTTTTCTCTCTTTCTCTGTTGTTTCTCTCTCTTTTTTCTTCCTCTTTCTCTCCTCTCTCTTTCTCTGTCTCTCTTTTCTGTCTTTCTCTCTTTTCTGTCTCTTTCTCTCTTTCTCTTTTTCTCCTTTTCTCTCTTCTCTCTTTCTCTGCTTTTCTTCTCTCTATTTCTCTTCTGTCTCTCTTTGTCTTTCTCTCTCTTTCTTCCTCTTTCTCTGTTTCTCTCTTTTTTTCTTTATTTCTCTCTCTCCTCTCTCTTTCTCTTTTTCTCTTTTTCTCTCTGTCTCTCTTTTCTGTGCCTCTCCCTCTCTCTCTTTCTCTCTCTGTCACACGCACAAACACACACACTGGGCTGCAAAAGATTGCAGAGCAGTGCCAACCCTCCAGAACAGCGGCCCTCTTTGTGTCCTGGGTCCTGCCCTGTGCCCAGACAGCTTTAGAAGACTTTCCCTGCCCCCCCCCCGGATTGGGGGGTGGGCAAGCCCTCCCAACATGTAACCCTTGCAGTTGGCCCTGGGGTCTCATTCGGCTGAAGTGACTCCAGTCCCATTTGGCCAGCCTTTCTGCAAAGGAGCCCCCCTTCCCCCTCCCCCTCCCCCCATCCATTTCTTTCTCCTTCCTTGGTGAAAAGGGGTCTAACTGCCGCCCCCCCCCCCGCGCAGCCCAGTCAATAGCCAGCTTAGCTGGAGATGCCAAGGAGAAAAGCAAAAGAGGGAGAAAGACTGACTGAGATCTTTTTTTCCCCAAAACAAGGAATCTCTTTTGCCCGCCGATCTGGCTGTGCAGCCATGGAGATGGGTGGGCATTGCCAAGGGAGGGGGCAGGAAGCGAAAGGAAGACCCCCCCCCCCCAGGAAAACTTCGATTCCTTTGAAAATGCTAGCAAGCAAGGCACCAAAGCGCCTGGAGGCAGGACTTTCAGGCTAACTGATGCTGGGGGACCCCCTTGTACCCCACAGGTACACAGGTATAGTACAGGGGGTACCTGGCTCAATAGTAGTAACTGTGAGAGGGATCTCGGAGTCCTAGTGGAGGATCTCTTAGATAGGAGCCAGCCGTGTGCTGCAGCTGCCAAAAAAGCCAACACAGTGCTAGGCTGCATTAACAGAGGAACAGAATCAAGATCAGATGAAATGTTAATACCACTTTACAAGGCCTTGGTAAGGCCACGCTTGGAATACTGCATCCAGTTTTGGTCACCACGATGTAAAAAAGATGCTGAGACTCTGGAAAGAGTGCAGAGAAGAGCAACAAAGATGATTAGGGGACTGGAGGCTAAAACAGATAAGGAACGGTTGCTAGAATTGGATATGTCTAGTTTAACAAAGAGAAGGATGAGGGGGGACAGGATAGCAGTCTTCCAATATCTCAGGGGCTGCCCCAAAGAAGAGGGAGTCAAGCTATTTTCCAAAGCGCCTGAAGGCAGGACAAGAAGCAACGGACAGAAACTAATCAAGGAGAGAAGCAACTTAAAACTAAGGAGAAACTTCCCCAAAGTGAGGACAATTAATCAGTGGAACTACCTGCCTCCAGAAGCGGTGAATGCTCCAACACTGGGAGTTTTTCAGAAGAGACTGGACAGCCATTTGTCTGAAATGGTATAGGGTTTCCTGCCTGAGCAGGGAGTTGGACTAGATGACCTCCAAGGTCCCTTCCAACTCTGTTATTCTGTTATTCTTTCTAACAGGAAAATAACCAAACTTACTTACTTTTCTTTCTTTTTTCCTTCCTTCCTTCCTTCCTTCCTTCCTTCCTTCCTTCCTTCCTTCCTTCCTTCCTTCCTTCCTTCCCATCCACCTTCATTATTTTTACAAATCACTCAAGGCAGCAAACATACATAATATTCCTCTTCCTATTTTCCTGTGAGGTGAGTTGACTGAGAGAGGGGGACTGGCCAAGGTTACCCAGCTGGCTTTCATGGCTTAGTCGGGATTTGAACTCACAATCCCCTGCTTTCTAACCTGGTACCTTAACTGTTAAACCTGGGGTCTCCAAACTTGGCAACTTGTAAGACATGTGGACATTAACTCCCAGAATTCCTCAGTTTGGAGACTCCGTGACCTAGCCTAGGGAGAGGCAATCTCAGCTCTTTTATGACTGGTGGACTTCAACTCCCAGAATTCCTGAGCCAGCCATGCTGAGGGGAAAGGGAGAGGTTTCCAAGCTGAGCCATGCTGGCTCAGGAATTCTGGGAGTTGAAGTCCACCAGTCATGAGGGGGCCACAGTTCCCCCATGCTGGCTCAGGAATTCTGGGAGTTGAAGTCCATGAGTCATGAAGGGCCATAGTTTCCCCATGCTGGCTCAGGAATTCTGGGAGTTGAAGTCAACGAGTCATGAGGGGGCCACAGTTCCCCCATGCTGGCTCAGGAATTCTGGGAGTTGAAGTCCACCAGTCATGAGGGGGCCATAGTTCCCCCATACTGGCTCAGGAATTCTGGGAGTTGAAGTCCACGAGTCATGAGGGGGCCATAGTTCCCCCATGCTGGCTCAGGAATTCTGGGAGTTGAAGTCCATGAGTCATGAGGGGGCCATAGTTCCCCCATGCTGGCTCAGGAATTCTGGGAGTGGAAGTCCACCAGTCATAAAAGAGCCAAAGTTGCCTATCCCTGGCCTAGACCAAACTGCCTCTCCACTGAGAGTTTAGCAACTGAATTCGCAAGGCCAATTACCAGGACACTGGGAGTTCTAGTCCCGCCTTAGGCATGAAAGACTTTGAGTGACTTTGAGCCAATCACCAGGAGGTGATGTTCTAGTTCTGCCTCAGGCATGGAAGCCGACAGGGTGACTCCAGGCCAATCACCAGGAGGCTGTGAGTTCTAGTCCCACCTTAGGCACGAGAGGCAGCTGGTGATTCACCCTCTCTTTCTCAGCTCAGCCCACCTCACAGGGATGTTGTTTGTCGGGAAAAGAGAAGGAAACAGTATTCGGTACATTTGCCGCCTTGAATGATGTGTGAACAATATTGAAAGGATAAAAATCCAATAAATAAACAAAACATAAAAATAACTACTACAAAGATTAAGAATTTGGACTGGCCAGAAAGAGAAGAGAACAACTGCAATAATTAGAGGCAGAACTGACTACGGTTTAATTAAAAAAAAAAGACCAACATGGCTAAAGAGCTCAAATTAGGGAACCAGGATAACAATAAACAATAAAAATAAGGATGCAGATTGGAGCCAGAATACAGAACAAATCAACAGGCAGAGCCGGCTGGCTTTGCAGTCCTGGACTTATGACCTCAACCGACCCCCCTCCCCATTTTGGTTGCTAAGCGAGACGGGCGTTAAGTGGAGTTTTGCCCCCTTTTACGACTTTTCTCGCCACGGTTGTTCAGCGAATCCCCGCAGGCGTTAAGATTGTCACACAGTTGCTAAGCGAATCCGGCTTCCCCGTCGATTTCGCCTGTCCGACGGTTGCCCAAGGGGGGGGATCACGTGATCCTGGGGGGACAGTGCAACCGTCACAAGTACATGCCAGTTGCCAAGCGTCGTAATTTTGATCACGTGACCGTGGGGGGAGGCTGCGACGGTCGTACATGTGAAAAACCGTCGTCAGTCCCTTTTTCCGTTGCTGTTGTAACTTGGAACGGTCCCTAAGTGAGCTGTTGTAAGTTGTCGATCCGTATTTTCACAAGGTGGATCTTTTCCCCGTAATAAGCAAGCGGCACCAAAACAGGAATTACCGCCGGGGCTTCATACGCCCAGACATGATGTCACTCGGGGCAGGAGGCAAATTGCAACACCTCCTCCTCTTGATGGGGTTTTCCCCGAAACCACCTACTGATTTCGTGTTGTGTCTTTTCCACAATTACAGTGTCTGTGTGTTGCCCAAAGACTTTGGGAATCGGAGTTGCGGTTCCAGACTGGAGAGAGGTCTGGGATGGGCTCAAAGGGGGGTGGGTGGGTGGGTGGGTGGGCGGGTGGGCAAAGGGGTAGAAGTTACCCCTCAGCAAGGAATGCTGTGGAAGAGCTACTAATTCACTGGAAGGGACCTCGGAGGTCTTCTAGTCCAACCC